CTGATCTGGACGTGAGACGGAAGTCTCGTCCGTAGATGGTGCAGATGACGCGTGCTGTTGACCGGGACGTGAGAACGAGGTATCTGATGTATCTAGAGTGGGATCCGAGGTAGACGTAGAGATCCCGCTAGAAGGTTTGATGGGTCTATGATTGAGTCTCAAGTTATCGGGTAGGGCACTGTCATCGACGAGTGCTGGTCTGAGACGATCAATGCTGACGATCTCGACGCGGCCGTGTCGATCAACCTTGAAGGTCTTTTCGTGACGAGAGGTCACGTGAAAAGGGCCTTCGTAAGGCTGTTGTAGAGGTTTGCGTACCGAATCTACTCGTATGAAAACATGTGAACAGGTAGATAACCCTCGAGGGAGAGCGACCTGTCGATGTTGTATTCGAGTTGACACGGCGACAGCGTTCGCATAAATGCAGACAGTCGATGGACGTAGTCCGATTTACCGAAATCATTACTGCTCCGTGGTGTGAAGAATTCCCCAGGCAGACGCAATGCCGTGCCGTATACAAGTTCAGCGACGGAACATTGGATATCTGCCTTCAAACTCGTTCTGATGCCTAAGAGAACGAGCGGTAAGGTTTCGTACCAATTGTCGTTTTCGTGTGCTCGGAGAGCACATTTAAATTGGCGATGAAACCTTTCGACTAAACCATTCGATGCTGGATGGTAGGCGGTAGTGCGAATGCGTTCCGTACCAAGCAGCCGGGTCAGTGAGGAGAATAATGCGGACTCAAATTGTTGTCCTCGGTCAGTCGTGACAGTCGAGGGACAACCGTACAATGCTATCCATCGTTCTACGAAGCGGTGAGCAACTGTCTCCGCCGTGATAGACGTGATGGGAATAGCTTCGGGCCATCTTGTAAAACGGTTAATGCACGTGAGTATGTGATCATACCCATGCGATGGTGGCAATGGTCCTACAATGTCTATATGAACGTGATCAAAGTGAGCATCAGGCGTAGCGAACATGCCAATGGGGGCAGCTACGTGCCTGTGCACTTTTGATCGTTGACACTGTAAGCATTGCTTTACCCACATACGAACATCTTTATTCATGGACGGCCAGACGTATCGTGCAGCGATGAGACGTAATGTGGCTGCGATACCTGGATGAGACAATCCATGAAGGGCATCAAAGACGAGACGGCGATATGTAGAGGGTACGATGGGTCGAGGAAGACCGGTAGAAATATCACATAGGATAGTACCTGAGCTAGTAGCTAGGGGTACTTCCTGACACTGAAGGGACGAAGATTGTGGTGCTTCTGTACAGACAGGATCGTTTGCTTGCGCGGCAGTCATAGCAGGAAGATTGAGCACCGGTAAGGTAACTGCATTCGTCTGGATACGTGAAAGAGCATCGGCAACATAGTTCGACTCGCCTTTAATGTGACGAAGGTCTGTCGTGAACTGTGAGATATAGTCCAAATGTCTGCACTCTCGTGGTGAGTAGCGGTCAGACTTGGTATGCAGGGCATACGTTAAGGGCTTATGGTCGGTGAATAAAATGAATTGTCGTCCTTCTACTGCGTGCCGGAAATGTTTGATGGCGCAGTACGCTGCAAGCAGCTCGCGACCAAAAGCGCTATATCTCGTCTCCGTGAGAGTAAGGCGTCGTGAGAAAAATTCAAGCGGTTGCCAACTACCGGAGATATTCTGTTGCATGACGGCTCCTATAGCGAAATCTGATGCATCAACCGCTATACTAAGCGTGGCTGATGGGTCAGGATGAGCGAGGAGTGTAACTTCAGCGAGAGCCGTTTTGATCTCTGAGAATGCAGTACGTGCGGTATCGTTCAATTCTAATTTGCGTGGATTACCGCGTAGTAAATCGGTTAGTGGTCGTAACCGTTCTGCCGCGTGAGGGATAAAACGTCGATAGAAGTTAACCAAACCGAGAGAAGCCTTCAGTTCCTTGATTGAGGACGGCACGTTGTACTCCTTGATTGCTCGAATTTTGTCCTCGCAAGGCAGAATACCCTCTCGTCTGATGATGTGACCCAGAAATATTATTTCTGATTTACCCAACTCACATTTCTCTGGGTTGACTACTATTCCATTATCCGAAAGACGTTGGAATAATAGCGTAAGGTGTTGATAATGTTCATCTACGTTTGATGATGCGATCAGCAGGTCATCAATATAGACGTGAACAAAATCCAAGTCTCGTACTATGCTATCGATAAACCATTGGAAAGTTTGAGCAGCATTCCGTAATCCAAATGGCATTCGTAGGAACTCAAACAGACCGAACGGAGTCGTGATAGCAGTTTTTTCGATGTCTTCAAGAGCGACTGGGATCTGGTGATATGCTCGTACCAGATCGATTTTAGAAAAGATAATCGTGCCCTTGAGCGATGCCGTGATATCGTGTATAATGGGGATGGGGTGACCATCAAAGTGCGTAACTACGTTTAATGCTCGGTAGTCGCCGCATGGTCTCCAACTAAACCCATCCTTTTTGCGCACCATGTGTAAAGGAGAGGCTTAAGGACTTTGAGAAGGACGAATAATACCAAAAGATAGTAAATTGTCAAACTCACGTTTAGCGAAGGCTAATTTGTCCGGTGCCAGTCGGCGTGGTCTTGCCGTGACTGGTGGTCCGCGGGTGACTATGTGGTGTACCACATGATTGGTCACCGATGAAATCTCCTCGAGTGGTTTAGTTATTCTGGGGAATTTCTCGAATAAGGCGTGGAATTTATCGTCACGCGAATAAAAAGTGCCGAGGATTCGGTACGCGTACATCGGAGTCTATTATATCAATACTATTCTTATCGTTATCCGTCATGTCAAATATATTATATATTAAAAATTAATATGAAAATATATGACAAACGTGGATAGATAAAACAATAGACTCACCGAATTGCCTTCTTTGGAAGATTTGACCGAGGTTGAGGCGTGTTCCAATATTTGGCTCACCAAATGTAGCGTGGTGTCGAGTTGAGCTTGACTATGAACACCGCTACAAGACTACGTGCCAATTAACCAATAAGATCCCCGTAGGCCAATATCAGAAGACAGATGATGGCTGTAGTCGAGATGTATTTGTTGGCGATCTCGTGGTATCGAAAGAATACCGAGATCGTGCCAAAGGAGTACAAGCGTGGTTACTGAGCGTAACCGAATTCGTACAAGTTCAAAGTCAACGGGAGAGTAAGTAAGTATAATGGCTGTCATTAGCACAGTTAAACAAACGAGCACAGTAAAACAGTCACTGGTACAATTGGTTATAATAATAATTGTTTTCATTGAACCAATCGCGTTCTGTAGACAGAAGTAGGTCACTACAGTAGTATGTTGTCACATGGTGCTACTAAGTATATCTTATGGTCAAAACGGTCTTAAAAATTGTTCATGTTTAGTATATAAGACTAGTATAAATGAAAATATATACAAGTTTAGGAGGACTAAAAACATAGTAAGCCATCCAGCGAATTAATAAAACTAGCGTTGAATTATTTTGGAATTTAAATCATCCAATTGATTTGAAATATTTAAAGCTCTTTATGACAGTATAGATTGAAAATGACCCAGATTAAACACACAGTGTTGCAACTAATTCCAGGGTGCTTAACGCTGTTGACTTTTCATCACTCGGTCAATTCATAACAAATACAAGAGTTCAGGTAAACATGTGGTTACCGACGTACGAACCATCTGAAATGAGCTTGAGATCGCAGACATTTTATGGCTTAAACTCACAGTAAGTTTCCTGGACATTGTCTCCGTCGTTTGACAGTTGAACTCAAAAGAATAGAAAATAGGGAATGGTCCATGGTTTAAGAAAGAGTAAAATGTTAATTACTGAAACAAGATATATTATAAAATTCGAATAACGCGATCTATTCGAAATGATACAATAGAATAACTCTTATTTGCTACACGTGACAATTCTCTTACACCATTCATCAACACGTCTATTTAGAGTAATTTGGGCTTCACTACCGGTTGAACAATTATGAGTTGAATAAATGTGTGGTAAAATTTCTTAAATTAATAATGTACGTTTACGTTTTTATAGAAATTTAGCACTGTATCCTATTGCGATAGCGCAATAGGAAGCGAGTACTAAGAAACCTTCTGATTTGTACAAGCTCATCATGTGTCTAGCACAATTAGTTCCTGAACATCTTACTCAAAGCAACAAAAGTATTTTAATTTACATTGCACTTTTAACTACAGAGCTTGGGAGCTAGGCAACTACAATAAATCTGTGTGAAAGATCGAAAACTGGGTACGCTTCCACTTTTTCAAGTAACAGTATTCCTAGCTTGGAATGCTTCATCAGACGAAGTGAACTCATCTCCCACAGTGGACAGCTACAAGAGGCGGCCACATAAATATGTACTCACCCCATAGATTTCCATTCGACGTTTAGACCATCTTTGTTTGATGGATGTCTCGTAATTTACTGTTGTTATCACTGACGCATAGAGTTAAGCTTATAATGTCATGGATATCATTAACTTTGTTTCCTCTTTCGTTTTCACGTTTCGATCTCCTCAAGGACTGCAATGCCTGCCAAATAACTTGTTTGTTATTCTTTCTTGGCAGTCGTTCTCTCTTGGCACTTAAAATTTCTTTTCCATTTATCATATTGTAATTATTCAGCCTCCTGTCTAAAAATTTAATAGCTGCTGGTATCAAGAAACTTATCTACCCCGAAACAAATCCATTCACTCGGAACACCAAAATATACAAACAAATGATTACAACACTGATTATAATCGTGCAGTAAAATAGTAAAACCATCACTCACTAGAATTTACCAAAGACCTTAAACTGTACAAGAACAACACGAAACAAGTGTACAAACTAGTCACGCAGATATTGAGGATTGACCCTCGTTTTACTACCCTATAATATATATATTCTGAAGGTGAAGATTAGTAGGATTTTAGTACTTTGGAGTCAATTTGCCAATGATTCTGGAGTCCTTATTACTCATATCCTTTAATATATAGACCGTACATAATTTTAGAAATGGATTTCCTTACTCCTGACAAAAATCTTTGCAGTTATGATTTACGAGATAGTGTTAAAAACACTTCGACTATACCACCAGGATACGTCCCTCCTCTCATTCGAGGTCTTAGTTTAGATGATTCTGTGAAATCCACGTCATGGTCCACTTCAAAACAAAAGCCACATTCCTTATATCTGGGGATTAATCAGGGATATAATGACACCGTAAGTTCACGAACATTTAGTTTTTGATATATTTGATTTAAATTAAATATTTATTTCCAAAGTAAGCAGTTAATAATAAGAGTTAATAGCCCGAATAATCAACCTATTTAGTCAAGAGGGTGCTCTTATAGGAACGGGACCAGGCGTTAATACGTTGTACTATGTATATATAAGTACTGACATTTTAATGATTTTTGATATAGTATCTGGAGTTAAGCGGCATTGCTGTTCATCAAATATTTTCATCATATTAGGCCTCTCAGTATAGCAGCTTCCGTTTTCATCTCGGCAAGCTGATCTCATCATACGTTACACCATAAATTGTAAAAGACAGAAAGTCGAGTATCCATGAAAATTTAAAACCCATTTGTGATATTCGTAAGCACAAATCTTGCTCATTTATAAACTTGTGCTGACTTTTTAGGTAAAGGCTAGACACGTTTGAAATGAATCATTGACTAATCTTAGGTTGACGATCGTTTTCAATAAATTATCGGTCTCTACAGTTACTAATCCAATGAAGAGAGGATACAGTCGAAACTAATAATGATACTACCCTAATGTGTGCCAAGCTAAACAAACAGGTTTTGTGTAACTTTTTCGCAGACATATGTTTATTTGGATTGCTACCAAATGCTTCAGAAATATGTGATAAGCATCATCTTGCATCTCTTGTTAGATTACTGGGACTTGATATATAACTGAGTAGTCGTCTTCAACCTGATTTTGTCCGTAGTCGATTAAGTGGGAAAGAATAACATTGTTAATAGATTTAGTGGGACGTTTTCTTTATCATTCAGGTACGTATTTGCAAGCGCGTATGGATGAAGACTTTTGAGTACGGGTGATGTAACTGGCTCCACAGGAGCAGTTGGATTGATAAGCACACATAATTAAGCCTATCGTCGGTATCTTATCTTTAATTTACTGTATTAATATTATCTTCCTTGAGGAATTTACGTGTAGTTTATCGACGTCGAGAGTCTTTTTAATGAATCTGATTATTCGACGTGTTGGAATCTCACTCGATATATCACCTTTCGAACCGAGTCTTAGGTTTAGAGTTTTCTTTTCATCTGTGGAAGTCTGCATCTTGCCCTCAATTTAAGTCACGTATTTCTTGATGAACTTACTGGGGTATCCATTTTTTAGTAACGTCGTTCTTAGTTTATTTAATTCTTCCTCAGAGTATAGTCGTTGGGTTCTGTGACAGGTGTTTAGTTAGAATAAATTTATGTTGGAGGGATGTGAAGCTATGGTAGTGGGTGTATTGTTCCGTCCGGGTTTCTTTTCAAAATATATTTCTTAGTAAACCATGCAGCTCCAAGGAATGCTGTATTCTTCATATATGAAAATAGTCCGTGGATGTGCGTTTTTTACTGTTCCTAACGGTTCTTGTTGGTTAATTGATTTTTCGTAGATAATTAGTATATTGTCTACGCAATAGTAATAGTATTCCAACTTATTAAGGGCATCATGTAATAGTCCAAATTCCAGTTTGGCTATGAAAATATCAAAAATTGAACCTAGGAGAAATCTGATTGCTACTTTATTTGTTTGCAGACTTCGTTGTTAAACGTGAGGTGGATATTATCTGTACACTTAAACAGAAGTTGCTTTACTATCTATTAGTTGCAGATAACAGGTTTTCCAATGTAGACATTCTTGCCAACACCCGATCATAGTAAAATCTTTTGGCCTCATAGCGGCATTCAACTCTACCAGTCTAGAGGTTCCTGATTTTTATTTCATTTAATCATAGAAATTCCTTCACAGATAACTTTTCTGATCTGAATTCTCAAGGTTTAATCACCTATCAGGAGACTTGCTTCTTGACGTAGGATACTTCAACGAAATTGATGTGTCCTTATCTGAATTACTTCGGCTGAACCCAAAAAGCCCAACTCCCACTCAATGAGGAGGTTGGCGTAGATTTTTTCAATGGTGTCCAGTCCTATTCAGGTCAGTTGCCGACCAAATGAACAACCAAGTTTTGGCCAATGGCATGCACTTGTCTTTTGGCCTCTCTGATAACTCCAAGGTTTCAGAGATAGTTTTGTTTGGTGAAGATCCTAACAAAACGCAATCTTTCGGTCACGTAAACCAACAATTCGAGTGTCATTAGGATGTGTTCCTCACCCTACCGCTCAAAAAGTCATTTCAGGGTTTTTTTGGGTCGTTTCCTGGATGGACCGCAGAAAGTGAAGTAATTGAGTTTGTCGATTGCTTCACATATTTGACGAAAACTTGACACATATTTTATCCAGTCGTATCAGATTTTCTGAATTAAATAAAACAATAGGATATGGCATCATTCCATAAAATCATTGACTACTGGTCTCAGCCATTCCGGAGAGTGTAGACTTACTGGTTGGACCTTTCTTAATGATCAGAATCAGTGGGTATAAACATTTGGTAACAGCAGAAAATTAGTCATAATAGTGTAGTATCATTTATTGTGTATTTTATTTTAAATCTTAACTTTCTTCATTACTAGCTTAGTTCTCCAGTCTCATTTGTTTGTTTTAAACTATATTTTTCACATATGGACTTTAATTGTTTTTGATACTAAATATCTTGTGCCTCTCATCTTGTTAATCCCCCCTCCCCGCGTTGTACTAATGTGAGACATCGAAATTTAAACTGATGCCCATTCGTGAAAGGTTTTAATTTGGTAATAACTAACTAAAAACTCCGTCTGGAGCTCCTCTAGGTCTACTGAGGGCCCCAAGCCCGGATAAAGGACGAAAGTTGGGCATAGGGTTAACGACTCCATCCCGTAGAAAACTAACCCGCTAAAAAAATGCTGACCAAAAGAAAGAATTCAAACCATTTTAACTCTTTAAAAACTTCGTGCAGTTAGTTCCCTTTATAAATTTAAATAAAACCAGAACTCATATTGATGCAGAATAGTATGACTCATATGGCTTCATTTAAACCCTATCCTGGGAGTTAAAGGGTCTTCATTTAGAAGAGTTATAACGCCTCATGGTGAAAGCCGATTTCCTTCGGAAGTCACAAGGCTGACACCGCTGCTGACAAAGAAACCAATAATTTAAGTACATGCAATGCTCGTACAATATGGGAGACCGAGAGAGTCATCCAAATTGCTGCAGAAAATGACTAACTAAAATTAGGATTTTTCAATTTAATTCATATGATCTATCATTTTACTATATACATCAAAATAATACAAATACTGGTAGACTGAAAACAATTTGGCATAGTTATATTCGGTAAACAACTGCATAATAATGATAATAATACATTTGATAAGGCATTCATTATGTTTTACACTTCTTGTTTGGTTTTTACTTTTCGTGAAATAATTAATATCAAGCTGCTATCTCAACTATTTTTTTCTTTTTTCTATTAGTTTCTTATAGAATTCTAAGCTATGTAAAGTTAACTAATAAAATTTACTCCAATTGTTGAGATCATGAGTCAGTTGAAGCTAGACCACTATGGAAAACCTGAAAGCACTCGATGGCCGTTTCATCCTACTGTGGTACTCCTCAATAGTGCGCATCCACGATCCCGCCTCGCGGTATTTGAACCCAGAACCTACTGGTCTCGCACGCGAGCACCTAACCACTAGACCACTAAGCCAGCATCAAACGGTGTTAATGTTTAACCTCAACTAATCCATGAAATTGAGCGACACATCCACTGCTAAGGAGTTCCACAATAGGACGAAACGGCCGTCCAGTGCTTCCAGGTTTTCTATGGTGGTCTAGCTTCATTTCACTCATGATCTCATCTATTAAAGTTGTGATACAATTATTTATCTTGTTATAATCCTTAAAAAGACAGCTATACTTAATTTAAACATACTCTTTGCTTAACTGGAATTTTTCTATTAAGCAGACTTAATCAGGCGTTAAAGGGTCAGTACAATTATCTTGCTTTTTGTTTGTGGCTTAATAACATCAGAACTTAATGATCGGCTTTGAAAGATATATATATATATATATATATATATATATATATATATATATATATATATATATATATATATATATATATATATATATATATATATATATATATAAACCAATAGCTTGATTGAAGTCATATGGATTCATAAAACTACTGTTTTATAAGCCTAGCTCTTTTTTAACATGTAACTTCGTACAAACTCATTGATAGTTATTTTTATTATTGTAGTACATAGATCATTTTATTTATTATTTATTTTAACACATAGATATCGGTACAAGAAGGCACCAAATACATTTGCGCCACACATATCTCATTGGATATGTGTGAGGGCTGTGATACTGCCCAATATCCCAAACCGAAGCAGGTGGTTTTCTTAGGGGAACACACCCCGAGCCTTTGACCTGAAGATCCGATCCACAAGGCAGTGGAGCATCGTGAGGAGATGCAGTCCCATGGTAGCCAGCCGGTGACCAACGATTGGTTCATACGCCATTTGTTCCCGCAGGATACTGGAGCTAGTCCATGTGCACGATTGGTTTGGGATCCGGTTAAAGCGCCGGACATTCGCTTTTCGTCCTCTCAATTTCGTAAACAACACCGTCGCCATGAGAAGGCCGTGAGTAGGACTTCCCTGGTAGGGGCTGTATACGCGTGGCCATATGAGAGCATTTCGAGATTGGGAGCGGACTCCCCCCACTCTCGGCCGTACCAGGGCATTTGGGGGCACATAGATCATTATATAAAGTTGCAATAAAAATCACATCACGCTAAGCCTATTGAAAATTTTAATAATTAGAAGGAAAGATATCTGGTCAGTTAATACATAAGAAGTTAGAACAACACATGTAAATGAACAATATTCTCAACTTAATCTTTACCAAGCTTTATCTTTTATATATATATATATATATATATATATATATATATATATATATATATATATATGAATATTTATATGGAAATATGAAAATAATAAACCAATTTAAGCAATTATATTAGGGATACTAGATCCTCAGAAATCACTTGGTAAACATCTCAGTTTTTAATTTTATTATGGA